ACCCATCTGTCACAAAAGCTATTGGCTTTCGTAGAATGAAGTTCATTTCAGAAGCCATACATGGTTTCCCATTTACGGTCGGTTTTGAAGTTCGATACTATAACAAAGAAAAACGTATGTATGAGAAATTTGAACAGGGAAAACTTTTACAAGTTAGTTTGCTTGTAAACTTAGAAACAACTCTTCAAGCTTTTCAAGAAAAAATAAACGACATCTATATCGAATATGCAAAACAGTATAACATTGACGAGGGAGAGTACCATCTCGATATTATTTATGACAGGAAAAATGCAACTGTTAAAATCAATAGAATAGAAGACCTTGGAGAAAACGTTTATATTTCTACAAAATATAACAACTTGGCATGGTATAGATTTATGAGGATGTTAAATCAGCCTGCAGCATATCCAGTACACCCAGACTTTTATGAAGTCGAAAACCCTAATGGAACATATGAAAATGTTTTCGACCAAGATGCTATTATTGTTCATGCTTCATTTTCTGGCGCCCAAAACTCTTTCTTATGCTTGGCAAATGACTTTTACGAAAACCTACAAAGTTAATACGAACCACCAAGTGGAAGTATTTCAGACTTTCAAGTATGGTTTACTACAGATGGAAGAAAAAGAATAATTCCATTATACCATGCGTTTTACTTAGAACTTAGTTTCATATACAACTACTATCGAACGGTAAAAAATAATTTTTTAATACGGTTGAGGTGTTGGATTTGGTTGCCAACTAGACTGTGGTGCAGGTTCAGGCTGTTGTATAACAGGAGCTTGCTCTTCTGGTTCAGGGTCTTTAGGTATAATACCAACAAACTGACCTACCCTTTTACCAATATTTTTGACTCCGTTCCAAATTCCTCTTCCTACGGTTTTTATTCCATTCCATATACCTCTTCCAACTCTTCTGAAGAAGTTTCCAATACTACTGAAGAAACCCATTTTACTATATGTAAAAATCTAATGTCCACCTAGTCTCTTACGTTTCCTGTTGAGTTCCATAGCATTCTTTAACTGGAGCTCATACATTCTGTTTCTCCTCTGGTAGAAAACATATTCTGGGTCAACTCCTGTGTTCGCGTCATCTGCATAAAGTTGTTTATATCCCACTTCAGGGTTTGTATAAAACTCTTTCCATCTCATATTTGCATACCATGGTGGCAAACCTAACGCAGCGTCATTTGACATGGCAGTTTGCATTTGTACATCTGTTGGCACTTGACCATAGTTTGCCATTGCAGTTTGTATTCTAACTTCATTTGGAATATTCTCTGGGTTTGGTTGTCCAGGTTGCTGTGCATTCGCTAAGTTCTGTGCGTCCATTTAATATTAGATAAAAATATCTCTTACGAGTACATATACTGAACATTTGCAGGTATTGGTTCATCTTCATATTCTCTGTACTTTTCTGCCACGTCAAATAAATAAATGACACAATGGAAAAAACCTAAAACAAGTAGTCCTATTTCAAACCACATTTACTTACTAATAAAATTTCTTTGTTATGACACTTTCTCCGGTTTATAGGACCTCTCTCATATTCTATCTTGTCATATCTAAACTCATAGTCATGTATGTCCTCTAACCATCTCATAACGGTTTCCAAACCACTTTTATCGGATGTAAAGTAAAAGCATGGATGGTTATGTATAACGTCTAAAGTTTCTAAAGAGTCTCTCAAAGTCCAGTCGACTTGGTATTGAAAATCCCATGTGTTATAGAACGGCGGGTCCACTATAAAGAAAACATTTTCCTTGTCTTTATATTTTTCATACAACTCTGTCCAATGACATCTCACAAACTCTATACCCTCAATATATTTTTCTATGTCCTCTTTGAAAACATTTGTATAGTTAAGATATAAAACTTTTGACATAAGTGTTTCAATGTCATGAACTCTTATAGAACCACTATATAATAGTCTAGCAGATATACTATCCCAGTCTATATATTCTGCTTTTTTCAAAACCTCTCTCACAATATTTTTCTTATCTAATGGTATACGTTCCATCTTACCTATAGGTATCTTTTCTTTTAACTCTTTCAATATATTGTTTGTGTCTGGAATATGTTTGAGACGGTCCATATAGTTGTCGAAGTCATTGCATATAATCTTTGAGTCTGGGAATATTGTATGGCACAAATGGGATATATAGAAACTTCCACCGAACAAATCTACAAATGTTAGACCATTCGGTAGTTTCTTAAGTTCTCTCAATATAATATCTTTACATCTACTCTTATTTCCAAAGAACGGTAACGGAGGTTTTGTAAAATTCATTTATATATAATAATAAAAATGTTTTTACCCGAAAAGTGACAGAAAAGTGACAAAACATGAAAACATATATAATTTGTGAAAAGCGACACATTATATAATGTTTTCGACCCAGAAGAAGGCTTCTTCCCAGAAGCAATGGAGGAAGAAGAAGAGTCCTCCGAATTCACACCAGAAGACTAACAATTTTCCGAATAAAAACTTCATTTATACTAAACATCTTCGGGGCTAGAGGGCACGAAGTGCCTGGAAGCCCCACTACCTTTTTTTTTTTTTTTTTTTTTAAAAACTATTGAATATTTGAATTCAATAAAAATTTATATAAAATACATGTAAAGCATAAATTACTATATAAATCAAGCTGTATTTTGTTTTAAACACCGATTGTTTCATATAATATATATTCAACTCAAGTTTCTAATTAAGAATTTCATATAAAATTTAGCATATGATCAGCAACAATTAAAATTAGTATTACAATTAATAAATTTAGTATAAAAACATATAGATTTAGTATAGATTTTATAGCTGTAATAAAAGATCTATTATAAAAGAGTAATTTACTGAAATGCACCTTATATTTATAAACAAAACTTATAACGTGTTAGTTACATATAGAGTTGAAATTCATAGATAGCATAGAGAAGTTGGGATCTTGGCTTAATGGTCATAATATAACCAAATTAATTCAAAATTTGAAATTTTAATATTACTGTAACTATAATATATGGATATGTTTTATGAGATCATAATAAATAACATGTTAATGTAAAATTTAGAATAAAAAATTATATTTTTTTTAAAAAAACATTGTTCATGAGTGTTAATTGGAGAAGTAGTAAATTAGTTCAGTTTGCAAGTGATGATGGTTAATCTAACTATAATTACAATCAATTTTTAAAATACTTCCCGTAGGGCATTTGTTTAATTATTTCACATTCTGATGACATAATTTTTAATATCATAGATAATGAAAGCGAAAAATATATAAAAATCGACAAACATGTTATAATGAATTGAGAGCTTTACGTGTCAAAAAACACATTTCATACTGATTTCTATAAAAGGTATCTTTATTATAGAAGTGTAAGCTATATCTGTTTGTTTTTTTATTATAACAAATTCAAAATTTTCTTATAAGGATTAGATGAAATCTGTATTACTAAATCATTAGCTAAATGAAGGTTCAAATAGAAAGTAAATATCAATTTATATGATACTGAAACCAAATAGTTCTTTTAATAAAAGATAACACGCTGAAAATTATTGAGTATTTGCAAATCTCAAAAATCTATTGGTGAATTTGGCTCAACTTTTAAAATTATAACATCCATATCAAATCATAAAAGCAGACAAAAATTAAAGCCAAACCTATCGGCCAATTTTTTTTTGATATTTTGATTTTTGAGGTATACTTTTAAAAGTGGATTTAAAGCACTTATGAAAAAACATTAACTTCTGTCGTTATGATTATTGATTTAGACAATAATGATTTTAATCTTTGATTATCAAAACACTAAAGTCATCTTTTTAACATTTGCTTGGTAGCATTAACTCAAGTCTAAAGTACTATTTTATGTGGCACTCTTAGAATTTTTGTATTCATTGTACACGCTGAAATAGTACCATTAAAGTTATGGCGGACTTTCAAAAAATAGTTTGGTCACCTTTATTTTATCATTTATTGTTTGTTTTTAATCTTAGTAAATAATATTACTATCAAATACTTTTATTGATCAAGTTATTTTTTCTGGATAAGATATTATATGGATAATTGGATAGAAAATACAATTATATAATCTTGTACCTGGTTTAATTAAGCTAATTGTCATCAGAAACTTGTAATTTTTATGAATTTCAGATTTTCTTTTCATTACTGCTTTTCTTAATAGGTCAAGTTCTTATTTACGTTATAAAGTATGATATTTACAAATATCAAGTTATCATGTTTTTTGAGAAATTATGAGAAACAAACAAAAATGAAAAAGATAGGAATAGCAATGAATAGTGATGTGGGTATAGAAAATGTAAGAGATATGAATGCAAAGCAATCAGTATTTAGGATATTGACCATAGATTTCGAAAAAAAATGCTGCATATTGAGCGAAAACTATGATTATATTATAAGGCTGTCATTTAAAGCATAATGAAACTATTCCCTTTTCATTTTAATCGAATAAGATAGTAAAGATTTTTGAATTAGCTAGAAACTGATGAGATGTTTTCAAAAATCAGATTTTTAATCTCTATAATGCATAATTCACTCAATATCTCAATTTTGATATTGCGAGATATTTTTGCTATCGGTTTCGCAATTTTGACACAATAGCAAGAGGGTTCTATAAGCATTATTATCAACGTAGAATCTGAATATCATATCAGAAAATGTCGCAAATCTAACATTTACCCGACCAAATAGCAAAAATAATTGAATACTTTTCGCAAAAACTTTAAAAATCGATAAAAATATGAAATATAGATATTAAAGAGACTTTTTATATAATATTCATAAAGATTTTCCAAAAATATGATACCGCAAAATTAAAAAAGTGACGTCTTGAGTGGAGTCAAAGGTCGAAATTGCTAGATAAATGTTTTTTAGCGAAATTGCGTATTGTACGTTTTTTTCGCAAAACGAAACCCTTAATGTGATACAGACAAGAAGTCATAAACAATATATTTAAATACATAAATCAAATTTAATAAATTTCAGAATGACTTCGGTCTCAATTCCTGGCGCCTTGCTCCAACAACAAATTCCAATGCTCTTAATGCCAAAACAGCAACAGCATACTGAGCAAACATCTGGACTTCCAACTGAAATCGAGAAAAAGACACAAGATTTAATTTTAATGACTGGAGATGCTGGCCCAAGAAGATGGAGAAAGACCAAAACTGACTATCTTAAGAAGTTAGAAACCGATAACGGTGATCTTAAGAGTTTAGTTGTAGAATTGCAACAACAAATTAGTGGTTTACAAGCTCAGAATGAAATTTTACGTGATCAGCTCAGATACTTCCAAAGTTGCCTTTCTCAAGCTGCTCCTCTTGTATTTCAACCAAACGCAAATCAAGAGTCCAAATAACGAATTCATTGTTCTTATCAAAGCAGGATTCAAATACTTACAATTTCTGATAAGTTTTACAATTACTATTTTGTTTGCTATATTTTATTAAATTATTACTTTATCATTATTAAATTTTTTGTTTTCAGAATTAAAATGAGCATCAGTTACTATTCAACAAAAGATATTAATGTTAAAATATCAAATTATCTCTATAAATTTATTAAATAACAAAAAAATTAAATATATAAAAATAAAAATATTAAATCTATTATCTATGTTTGAATAATTGCTTAATCTTCTGAAAGATGGCATTAACATCTTCGTTAAAGTGACCAGACTCTTCAGTTGACAGAGAATTGTTTGCAATATCAATTAAAGCACTTGTATCGCGTTTGAGCATATCTATAGTTAGATACCAGTTGTTAATTATCCTTTGGATTATGATTTTAGTAGACATTGGACCCATCTTTGTCTGTTTCTTGTAATTTGAAAGATTTGACAAAGATTGGTATTTTCCAGAGAGGTTTTTATAGTCAGTAAGCAGCGCTTGCATCTGTTTCTGCTGTTCTGTGACTTGATGCCTGACATTCATTACATCCCAAGGTGAAATTTTGTTGAATCTTCCTTCAACAACAACTCCGATAGATTCGAACCTATCATTTTTACCAGAGTCATCTACTGATTCAACAATACCGGTCATTCTTTGACCATTTTTCCTAAAAATCAATGTTTGGCCGGTTTTGATTGTCACTTTTTGTGATGCTTTGAATGAATCCTCTGGAACTAAGTATCCGGGTGAATTTGGCATCGGAAGGGAGAGCATGCATCGGGTTCCGGCATCAAGACTTACTCCAAAATGTAGTTCATTTGGCCGGAAAACGATATCCGTAATGATTCCTGCTTCTACATTTCCCAAAGTCTTTTTTAGAACGTAAGGAGGAGTAAATTCTTGTTGATAGCTCTTTTTATACCTTTCGAATGGAAGTTTGAGTAAGACAAATCTCATGCCTTGCTGAGGGAAGATGAACGGATCATTGTTTCTCGTTGTAATCATCCAATTTGGAATGTTTTGGTGGGAATCTTCGCTATCTGAGGATAAAGATGAAGCTGATGACAAAGTAAAGTCAGAAGTATCATCACTCTTCCTTGGTATTTCGATTGTTGCTTTTTTGACCGGTGTTGCCTCTAATGATGATTCATGATTTAATTCTTCATCAGTTGCTTGAGTTAAACGCTTTCCTTTTGGCTTAGACTTGCTTTGTGTAGGTTCTTCTTCGCTCAAACTGAGATCAGAGCTTTCTTTTTTCGATTTTGATTTTGGTATTTTTTTATTTGTTTCTTCTTCAAGTTCATCATCTGTATCTTTTAGATCTTTATCTGATATGTTTTGCGTTAACTTACTTTTCTTGATCTCATCAGTTGGATTTTTAGAAGATTTTGGAGATGAACTGATACTAAGAGAAAAATCAATATCATCGTCAGCAGATTCATGCTTGTGATGCTTGCGGGATCGTTTTGGTGACTCAGCAACGCTTTGTTCAGGAGTTTCTTCATGATGATGGCGGCGATGAGACTTTGTTTGGCTTTGTTCAGCAGATTCAGGCGGGACAGATTCTTCAGTAGCTTCTTGTGTTGATTTATGTCTATGTCTTCTTCTTTTTGGAGTCTCATTTGCTGTATCTTGAGGAGTTTCCTGAGTTTCTTGGGTTTCTGGCTCATTTTCATGGTGCGAACGATGTCTTCTCCTTCTTCTTGGTGATTCTTCAACTTCTGCTTTCTTTTCTTCGCTATTTTGGAAATCATCATTTTCCAAATCTTCGAAATCGGATAATTTATCATTTTTAGTAGGGTTATAATCATCTTCTTTCGATTTCTTTGTCTTCCTCTTTGATTTCTTCTTTGGTTCCTCTTCTTCATTAAAATCTGGATCTTCTATCTGAGATTTATTAATTTCCTTTGGTTCATTGTTATCTTTCGACTTTTTCTCTGGTTTTTCGAAGTCAGAATCTTCTAAATCTGAGCTTTCTTGCTTTAATTTCTTTGATTTCTTCTTTGGTTCCTCAAAATCACTTTCAAGTTCAGATTCTTCGGCTTTAACCAACTTCTTAGCTTGTTTCTTATGTTTTGGCTTTTCTTCTTCTGAAAATTCTAAATCTGATGAATCTTTCTTTGATTTCTTTGAAGATTTCTCATCCTCGCTTTCCAAATCGGACTCAGAATCATGCTTAGATAGTTTCTTCTTTTGTTTTGGTGGCTCTTCAACATCTTCGAAATCTGAATCTTCTAATTCAGAAGATTCCTTCTTTTTATTGGTTTTTGTGGCTTTCTTTGTCTTCTTCTTACTCTTTTGGTCAGTTTCATCTGATAATTCATCATTTTCATCAGAAATTTCAGGTAAATTCTTTTTAAGGACCTTCTTTTTAGCAGGTCTTTGATAACTATCAGATATATCATCACTCTCGCTATTACTATCTGTTCTATCATCATGGTCTTCACTCATATCGTTGTCATCAACAATAAAATCGTCCATTTCGGAGTTATCATAGTCAACATCCTCACTATCGTATTCCTCTGATAAAAAGTCTTTTCTCTGGAAGTCATCCAAGTCTTCACTCGCTTCCATTTCATAAATCCTCTCAATTCTGTCACTTTTTGGTTCACTTTTATAATTTTTGTCAATTTTTTGAGGTGGTCTATTGATATAATCCATGTTTAATGTATAATCATCCAAATCCTCTTCTTCAGAGTCACTATTTGAGGAGTTTTCTACCTTAGCATTTGTCTGCCTCTTTGTTAATCCTTCTTTATTTTCCAAATCAAAGATTTGTCTGTCAGCAGATGAAGTGATCTGAACATTATCATCTGACAAATTGTCTTCTTCCTCGTTTAGTTTATTATCAACTTTCATTCTGAGTTTAAGCTCCTTAAGTGGTAATATTCCATTCTTACGCCATATCTGCGTCAAGTTCTTTTCCAACAATTCAATAAATTCATCTGTTTTTTGTTCGGCCAATTTAATCTTTTTCAAATTTAATTTTAATGATGGTTGAGGATCCAAAGGAACATTATTCTGATCTACAATCAAATCACTTGGTTCTACACCTTCGAATATCTCTTCTGCAAAGAACATCTCAGTTGTCTTGAAAACACCATCGTTTGCACAAGAAAATTTCGTAATTCCACCCATATCATCAACAGTATAAGCAGATAAACCATCATTCGACCAAACAACGCAATTTATTCTTCCTGCAATTTCCAAAGCATGTCCTGCAATTATTTTACCACTTTCTATATCCCAAAGAGAACAATTTCCTGTTGTTGTTCCCACAAAAACAATATTAGGAAATACAGGATTCGCTGCCAAAAAATTATTATATTCAAGAAATGTTTCATGTTGACAAATCGAAATTGTTTTCATACTAGAACTATCCCAAGCATATAAATTAGAAGGAGATATAGCAACAACTCTTGTGTCATCAGCATTCCAACAACATCCAATAAGTTTGCGGCGATTTCCACCTGGCAATTTCGATGAAAGTGTTTTTGTTGAACCCCAAATGTCATTTTCAACTGTCCACAGCTTGACAGAACGTTCTTCTGATGCTAGAGAGATTATATTCATTGGTGAATTGCGACTGAAAGCTATGTAAACAACGTTTTTGCTGTGTCCTTCTAATCTCGTAACTAATTTCATTGTAATGTGGATAACATAGATCAATCCGTTGTCTCCGGACACGGCAAGGAATTGTCCACCTGGTGAGAATGATAACCAGTCTGGATCACTCTCCATTTTGTCAAAAACTAAATATTCAGAAAAATTATTTCCGTCAAATTTGAAAATTTTGACTGATCGACCGAGACAAGCTGCTGCAAGATAGTTTCCGCATGGAGAAAACTTGATTTGTATAACACCTGTTCTGTTTTCGATTGTTTGAATTATTTTGCTTTCTGATAAAGAAATTATATTGATTAGGCCGTCATAGGATGAAGAAGCGAACATAGTATTGAGTGGATGAATGATGACTTCTGTGATTTCTTTCGTATGAAGTTTGACGTAAGATTTTAATAAAGTAATTTCTGGGAGTTTCCAGACTTTGAGCACAAAATCATCCGCTCCTGTAACAAGAATACTCGATGATCTATCAATTGCAATGCAAAAACATGAGTCAAAATGGCCAGATATTCTATGTGATGGATTGAACTTGTATAATTGTTCTACTGGTGATCCAAGTTGATACATGAGTGAATCTATTTGATTTATGGGTTTAATTTCTATTTTTTTGCTTGCTAGGATGGATGGAAAATTTGAATTTGGTATTGAGCGCTTAATTAATTGAAGAAGTTGATCATTAGGCATTCCATAAAGGATGTCTTTATCAAGCTCCTCGAAAGTAGGATTTTTTGCAAAAATTCTTGATGGAAATTGTTTCTTTTCTTCGCATTTCTGAATAAAACTATCTGCAATTTCAGGAAATTTCAATTTAAGGAATTTCGCGATAAGGAATGTCAGCTCATTCTCAACCTCATCGCTCATGAACAAAATTTGAGTCTTCTCTAAAAAAAAATTTTTCTTCGTCTCTCAAGAAGACCCAAACATCGTTTTATAATTGTTACTTGAAAACAATTAGAAGGACTGATGCTTTTGGATCTATAGAAGAGGTTATTCAAAGAATTTATTCAAGTTCATAAGAAAATTCAAAATTATAAAATGAATCAATCAGTTGATCTTAGTGAAATGTTAGTGCATCACAAGTCCTTTAGATTTCATGAAAGATGAAGGCTGTTATTAGGATTGGTGATCAACCCCCAAAATAAAAAATTACTCCCCCTGAATGGGGAATGGAATTAAGCATGAGGAGGAGATTCTTAAGCAAATCCGCGAATTCATGCAAAATTCCAATGGTATTATTAGTCAGGATGATGTTATAAAGATAATTGCCAAATTTTATTCACAGAATTACAGTGAATTAGGAGGATTTTCTTCAATAACTCGAGTTCTGAATCAGAAAGGTATTGCTACAAAAGTGAAAGTGAAAATACCACAAACTTTTATTGTCAAATCTTCAAGTTCTAAGCACGCCCCTCCACAGCAATTCATAACTGTTTTTGTTGATTCATCCATTCCACAAGATAAGAAGTCAAAACTCATTACAGAATACATTAAAGACGCAATACACACACTTGCTCCTACATTTCATCGATCAGTTTCTCGTGAAATTTTAGCAGAAAATCCAACAAATTTAGCTGCAAAAAATCAACCAGAAACAGAGTTCTTTTCAGTTAAAACACGTGCCTCACTCCTTCATTTATTCCTAATTCATAATTTTCACAATCGAAAATTAGATGTCAATTTAATATTGAATTCCATGCCTTTAGGCTTGATTGTTCAGATATTTAGATCCATAGATTCGAAGTATTTCTGTCTGCATCCATCAATTGTTGTTCCATTACAACAAGACAAAGTAATGGAATTAAATATGATGATTGCGATGCTTAAACCACCATACAATCCACTTATTGTTGATGGCGTTATAAAATCAAGCGCTGAAGTTGAAATAACAAATTTAAATTTCTCAAAAATTTTTGATTTTGTTTTTGATCCCGCTGCTCATTACCAATATTGGACACTAATTAATTCTATTGCCAATGTTCCACCTCAAAAGTTCCCTATTACTGTTATACAACGATTTGAACCTTATTTAAATTCAATTTACTCAGAAAGTGTCTTATTTTCTCTTCCATTCTTTCCACGCGAAGTCGAAGAAGCCTCAGCCGAACATTATATCCCTCCTCCAGCGCTTTCCTACTATTTGCAGAAATTATATAAAAAGAAATTGAGAGTTATCAACCATCCACGCCGATCTTTCCTTGAAACACACTTATTCCCTTCCAGTGGGATATATTCCATGATCGTTTCTGACAAATCTGCCCTTCCTTCCCTTGTTTTTTCACCTCCAAGTTATTTTTCAGAAGAATTCGAAGTCGACAAATCTCTTAAGTCCGTCGCAAAGCTATTTTTAGCATCAAGACTATCTAGTGATGGCTTCATTTTGTCGAAAAGATCAAACTACGAGCAACTTAAGGAAAAATGCAAAATTTGGATAAAAGAAAACACGAAAATATCCAATTTCAGGGCGAGTATGTTCGACGAAAAGTATTTTATTAACACTTACAATGAAGTTGTTGCCAATGTAATGGTTGTTTTCCATGGTTTGGCGAATCTTGATTCAGATGTTACGCAAACAGTTAATGCTACGTGCGAAGAGATCAATTCATTGTACACAGCAGCCAAAAACACTACGAATCTTGAAAGATCGACCTCAGTTGCTTTTGAATTTTTAAAATCTATTTTACAAACAGAATATTCTCTCAGAAACGAGACACTTTCAGTCAGACAATTATGCCACTTATCAACAGAATCCATCGGTAACGCTCTATGGATGCTTTCTGCCTTAGGATTACTATCAATGGAAGATTACAAAGGTTTAGTCACTCTTCCCAAGTGCGAATGGCTTTTCGATGACTACAAAGCACTTAAAGATTCTGATCCACAAAGAATTAACGTGATTCCAAGGCCCGGTCATATATTTTCATTTTTTTCAGAAGATAGAAAATTTGAAATTGAATGGTCGGGGAAAAATCGGATTGAAAAAACCGATATTTACTCGATTTTCACACCAGAGGTTGCTAATATCAGCAAATCAAAGATTTATGAGTTTAATTTCGTTCCAATCAAAGAAAAATTTCCAAAATTACAAATACCAAACACTCCAAAAGAAAATAACCAAGAAAAGATGAATGAAGAGATATTATCAACCGATCCTTTATCATTCTACTCGTTTGCAAGAATAGAAACCGAAGATTTCATTTTCCCAGATCTGATGGACAGATATCTTTTCGGACAAATATCAGGTGCTAGCGTAGATGGGATAGGAATACTAGAAATAGCATCTGCATTTGATGCAAGTGTTACTTCAGAGCTTTTTATGCAGTTTTTCGAAAGAATCGAAGTATTCATTCGACTAAACTTAGTTTGTCGAGTTCCTACATCATCATATGAACCAGTATATAGTAGATATCCATGCTGTCACATGATTGCCAAGAATTCCATGAATAAAATCGATTTAGTTCCAGTTCATTTGTGGATTGATGAAAATGGCGACGTTTTAACCGAAAGGATTGATGAACTAAGAAAGAATCTTGTTGTATTCGTTCTTTCCCACGAATTATGTACATTTGAAGAGCTTTTAGAAGCATTTCCTTACATTTCACCAAATGATTTATGTTTTCTACTAGACGCACTAGAAAGTGATGAAGTATTAGCATCACAATACTCATTCGAAGGTGCAGGAGGCCTGTATGACAAAGATGTAAATCTTTGTTCGCAAGAATTTAAAAATGATATCTTTTTGTCGATAGTTGCCGAACACAATGCCCTTGGAACAGAATCAAAGCTTGTTAGACGAATAAGAACTACATCATCTTCTTTATATAATGTTTGTTTATAAAATTATTTTTGTATAACATTTCCATTATTTCTACAATCATTAGTATACACAAAGTTTATATTATAACTTCTTTTCTTGGCATTTCTGAATTATTCAGGGAATTTCGATTTAAGGAATTTCGCGATAAGGGAGATTAGCTCATTCTCAATCTTGTCACTCATGAACAAAATTTGAGTCTTCTCTAAAAAAAATTTTTTTTTTATCATCCTTTCATAATTGTTATCTCAGAACAATTAGAAGGACAGAGGTTACTGGAAATATAGAAGAGAGCATTCAAAGAATTTGGTCAAGTTCATAGAAAAATTTAAATTTCAATCAATTTCAAAAAGGGATCTTTTAGTTTATCTTAGTAAAATGTTGCTGAATCGCAAGCCCATTAGATTTTCATGGAAGATGAAGGCTTTTATTAGCTTAGAAGAAAATTTATCAGTATTTTTTGTTTAAAATTATTTGTAAAAATAATTTAAGTAAAAAATAAGTATTCTGAGCTCTTTAGAAGCCGCAAACTGTTGGGCGAACGCCAGAGAAGACCTTTCTAGCAGCAACTGTTGGAGCGCGGATGGACTGCTTAAGGATTGGGAACTTAATGTTCTCGTGTGTGAACTGAGAAATGTTCTTGTGGACGAGATCCTTATCAGCAACTTCAGCAACCTTGATGATTGAGATGTTGTCAGCTGTTGTGTCGTGTGTGCCGGCAAGTTCAGCTAACATCTTTGTAACAGCTCCCTCTGTTGTTGTATCACGGTACTCTTTGTAGACGTTGTGGTGGTTGCGTGTTGAGCGGTATGAGAGCCAGATGCCGTAGTTCTTAACACGTGTTGGTTCTGGTTCGATAACGTGCTTGACAGCGAGAACTTCGCCGTGAGCCTTCTTCAAGCGGGCGATGCGCTGAGCAACTGTCCAGAATTTAGATTTGGCAATGACCTCGTCTGGGGCGAAAACCTGAACACGGACGGCTGGTGGGTTGGCAATTTCCTTTGTTGGGTATGGGCGGCCGATGACAAGATATTGCTTGAGAGACATCGTGAGAAAAGGGTCGGCCATAACCGTGTCAAACCGTTTTACCAAAACCCTTGCTTAGATTTAATTATTTTTAGATTTTGAAACGCATAAATAAATGAGACAGATAATGCATTTGATTCATCGTAATTAGAATTTCAAATTTCGATTTTTTGAAAATAAAAAAATAATTTAGATAGATTTTTGAAAAATAGTTATGCACTTCATAGGTAATCATAAAATTAATGAGATTACTCGATTCATATTGAGTTTTTATCAAAGTGTACGTTTTGAATTTTTAGAAATTTTGCTATTTCTCCATAATGGAATCTTCATCTAATTTAACATCACCATATATTGATACAACATCATTACCTTCAACACCCTTGTCATGCGTTTCCGATAATTATTCAACGAATCATGAAAATAAGAAATCATATTCATTATCTTCAACGCAAACTCCAACAAAAAATCTTAGCTTTTCTGATTTTTCATGCTCTTCGCCAAGTTCAATAAATTATGATACTCCAGACGAAATAACAAGCTTCCTTACTGCAATAAATACAAAATATAATGTAGAAGCGTACTCATTAAATGATGTGATCCAAGTTATTGATTTGTTACTTCAAAAAGAACGTAAATCTGCGGCAAAAGCACAAATTAACGAAATCAAACCTCAGTCAAATTCAATTGATTCTTCAATAAAAATTGAAATATCGGAGCTCAAAAGTCAGATTGTAAATATACAGCACTCAAATACTATCCTCACCAATACAAATAATACTTTATCTGATAAGATCAAGTCTTTGGAGACAGAAAACAAATCAATTCATGATGCAATTTTGTCTCAACAGTCATTAATCGAAGAACAATCTACAACTATTCAAAAACTAAGTGAACAAAGAAATAATCTTATTAAAATTTTGCACAAACAAACCGATTTGATTCAAAAATTCGAAGCACTACCTAGTGTTACCAAAGTGAGAGTACAACCACAAGTTAGAGAGTCAAATCCTCAACCAAAGCAAAATTCACCTTCAGATACTTCAAATGATATTATTTATTCCAACTTGATCTCAATTGTTAAAATGATTAGTGATAGCAAGTTCAATAATATTAATGAATTTCAAGCAATTCGCGATAATGCGGAAATCAAACCAAATGAGCGCACAATGCTAATTGTAAAGAAATTAATTGATCAATATTCACAACAAGTAGAAGTAAATAATAACAATCAGTCAACAATTGCAAAACTTAATAATGAAAAATTGCATTTGCATGATAAATGCATGGAAGTTCTTTCTTTGTTTGAAGAACAACTAAGATTCTTGCAAAACCTTTCACATTCTAATGATTTGCAAGCTGCTGTTTTTTATAATGAAAAGACAGGAACATCATTTTATCTCACTGATTGCAACAAGGTAGAATTAATAAGAAGATGTGCAAACTTAGGATCTTTTATTGAAAACACTCTTGGTGATATTACAGAACAGAAGTTTAATGAATCATTGCAACTACCTTCTTCCATTAATCCAACTGGAATCTTCAATCTTCTACAGCCAACAAAGATGCAAGAATTCATATCAAACATGTTAAGTAAGATCACAACCCCATCTGATATTGATGCAAGACAAGTATTTGATATTCTTTGTGCTCAAATTTATATCAATGATTTATTGAAGAATTATGCAAGAGATATTTCGATAATTGCAGCGAAGAGGAAGAGAGAAATCGAAAGCTTGCAGCAAAATCAATCAAATAATTATTCACAGGAAATAGAATTGATGCGTAAAAGAGATAAAACAATGCGAAGATTCTTATTGAAGTATATTGAAGTTGACAATCCAGAAGATATCCCAACTTTTGTTCTACTTAAGCAATTTGTAGCTGCAGCTCAAGAAGAAATTAGATCAAATCAGCAACACAATTATGTTGAGGATAGTTCAACAACCTCATCACCAATTTCAATTGAATCTTCATCAACATTGTCAAGGAAGTCATCAAAATCATCATCTTCTTCGAAACGATCACAACAAACAGAAGCAGTCAAAATAGAAATAACACAGCTTCAGGATCAGAATAATAATTTGAATCAGCAGATTCAACAACTAAATGACGAAAAGTCAAGGATGCAAAAGTTGTTGGATGAAACAATCCACAATCTAGATTTAACGAAGCAAGAAACAGCAGATAAAGAAAAGAAACTAGAAGAAGAAATATCAAAAAAGGATCAAGAGATTTCGGAAACACAAGAAAAACTCAAGAAATCAGAAGAAGTTTGTGAATCACTCACAAAAACATTAAGCGAAAATGAAGAAATAGTTAAAACAATTAAGAAACAAAGGAAGATGATTAGAAAAACAATTGAAAGTTTACAACTAGAAAACAAAAATCTCAAACAAGATATTTGCAATTGCAAACAAGCTAATACAAACATGACTAATCAGTACACTGAATCAACCGAAAAACTTCATAAAGAATTAGAAAACTCCATTCATGAAGCCGAAGCTTTAACAACACAAAATTCTCAGCTTTTAACACAGATTCAGCAACAAAAAGCTCAGCTATCTAAACTTTCAATTGAATGCAAGACTCTTGAAATGAAACTCAAATCAGCAGAGCAAAAACTTCAAATTCAGAATCCACCAAAGCCATTGATTGATTATCAAGATCTTACAACAAAAGTTACAAATCTTACAAACGAAAATAATTCTGCATTCAAGATTCTTTCTTCAGCTTTAGTTGGCATTTCAGCGCCTTCCAATTTAATTGAAGCGTCCAATTTCATTGTTGAATTCATTAATAAACTTAAGACATCTCAGTTAAACACAACAAATATGATTACGCTCCTTAGTAATATCAGATCTGCTTTAGGAATTGATGAATCAATAGATATTTTGCAAACGATTCATGAGCTAATTCAAACTGATAGTAATAATAGAAATAATTTAATTTCTGATGAAAAAGTTCTACGTGATGCCCAAATCGAAATTGAAACAATTAGGAAAGACTTATCTTTTGCACAAAATCAGCTTGTTACACTTAAACAATGGGAGAACTGGGCGAGAAGAGTCTATGGAATCATCAACGAGAATTCCAAATATCAGATCGGAAGCAGTGAAATCCGATTGAATCTGGAAGAAGCTCTACTTGCATCAGTTTCTCACAGATCTATATTCACAAAACTAGACATTCTCAGATCAGAAAAGAAGTCATTCTTAAAGTTTGATCGTACAATTCTCCTTGCAAGGTCCAATAATTCACCACTTCAATCGATTAGACCATTGATAATCCTAGCTGTGACTTTACACAAGGTACAAAAAATGGCTGGATGCATATCAATAGCCCCTACTTATCAAAGGCCAAGAACAATTGATAATGAATATACCGAATTTGAACATAATCGCCCAAAATTGAAGAAAATTAGATCACATTCAAGCAGAAAATCTTCGAACCAGCCTTTAATTCCTATCTGCTGATTGTTTTGTATATATAATTATTAATTATGTCTGTTATTTAAATAATTTACCATATGTTAATATAATTTTCCTTTTGTATGCATTTTTAATCACGTCTACAAGTTTAATCTATAAAAATCGAATTTAAAATAAAAATATTAGATTTAAAGATTGAACATATGAGATAATTATAATATTCTTTTATAATACAATCTATTCATAGATATGATATTGATCTAGATTCATTTTAAAATAAAAAATTGTATAAAATATAAAAAAATTTTGAGATAATTTTTTAATAGTTAACTGATTAAAAAGTCTATACAAACAAAATTTCTGCTAATTTCATCTTTAAAAATTATTTAATGGCGAAATAATTGTTTTATTATCATTTATGTTGCAAATGTTTTAATTTTTGAAATAAAAATTCAATATTTCGGCACAATTAGTAGATGCCTATCATTGTATAGTGTTCTAATGCAGATTACAAAAATATCAAGCTTTCTACGATGAAAAGAATTCCAAAATTTCGTTTGTAAAGAAATTCAATATAGAGTCGTATGAAAATCTGTTATTTTTATTTTTAAAAGAAACCATCTATTACCTTTGATGGCAGTTCTCTCGAAATATGATATTGAGCATACGCTACCGGCTGCTCGTGATAAAATATCAGATGAGACATTTTACGATATTTATGATGAAGTTTATCAAGATCTTTTGGACAATATGGCTCTCAACGTCGATGAATGGCACATGCTTTGTAGGCAATGCAATGATGAAAAACAAAAATTTGGAACGTTTGAGCATGGAAAGGTAAATCTTGAAAAAAATGTTGACAAATTCTACGAATATATAAAGTATTCTTGCGAACTAAACGAAATAAAACCGCTTTTAACTATTCGAAAAAATATTGCCGCCATATTAGAAAATTCTGGCGACAAGGCTATACAAGACCAAAAGAAAATACTTGAAACAGCAGTTCATGATATAGAAGTCCTTCAAGGTCAACATCAGGAGAAAAAAGGAGAATATGACAATTTAGATAATGAAGTCAAACAAAAGAACCAATTAATCAATACAAAGACAAAAGAATTAGACACATTAAAGGAAGAATGTGCCAAAAACAAGAAGAAATACAAAGAAAATAAAAAATTAATAATCCAAAAAAGAATTGAGCAAGCTAATCTTCAATATGATATAGCTACCCTTCAAGCTGAGCTTGAATTTGCAAAAGAACAAAAAGAAAAATATGATGATCGAATGGACGAACCGTTATGTTCAAATTTGACAGTTTTTCTTGATGGATATCATCATAATCGAATCACTACATTTAGGCTGATTCTTTGCAGTTTAATGATTTTCCTAGGAGCGGTTACAATTTCAAGTACTTTCACTTGTGTTCATCCATTTGGAAATGACATTGAATCTAAGCATCTTATATTGTTTTGGTTCTTACCTTTTATTAGTGCTTCCTTTTCATGTGCATATTTCGTATTTGCAAAAAGATTCTTTGATAATGATAGTTATGACACCATGTTCTTTTTAAATGACCGAAGGATACTAATTTCTATACTTAATTTTGCGTATATTGTAATGTCAATTATATATTATTTTTATTGTACAAAATTGATTGCATGCTTCCTTATTAGAACATTACAAGGAATTATTGTAGGGTTTTTATCTATCATTTATCCAGTTTCTCTGTTCCAAATTGGAAAAACAAAACAGCCTTTGTATTTATTGTCATTTTTCTTAGTGTCTTTTGCTTTTGGCGTTTTGTTTTGTGTCCCAATCAAACAGAAATGGCCTCTATATGTTGTTATCTTCCCAGGTCTTCAAACTATCTTGATCTGGTTCATAAACAAGAGCTCTTTCAACTTTGTCAACTTGAAAGTCGATTTTGGATCAGACTTTAAGTTCCATTTAGAGTTTCTTGTCATTGTTTTGCATATCCTTCAGCCATTCCTTGGTCCTTTCACATTATGGACAGTTATTTCTAGAATCTACAGCGATCCTTTAGAGAACGTCAAATTCATTCTACCATTTGTAGTTGGCAGTTTCGTTTTTTGCATATTTTTGATCATTCTTCGCATGAAAAACGAGAATACATTTGCATTAGCATCTATTCTTCTTTCTATTCCTTCACTTGTTTTTGCTTTAATTGGTGTAATCTTAGTCATTACACACAAAGACTACTATGGCCTTATGATTATGTCATTCTCTAATGGTATTGGACTATTGCAACTCCCATGGCTTCCTTATTACGAAACATTGTCCAAAATTCGACCAAAAACATTTGGATTTTATTGGTGCTTGTATTGGCTTTCTACATCAATATCTTCAGTCATATTCACTAAGATGAACTTGTATAATTTATCTTTTGTTTGGCTAGCTTTCATATGTTTGATAATTATATTTTTCTCAGTTTATCTAACGCTCTTCAAATATAACACGTGTAATACAATTCTATAATCATTATTATTTACTTTATGTTTGTATTTTGAAATAAACCTAAAATTTTACACATAATTTTATCGAATATTTTTGCATTGATATTGTATTTTTTGAATTTTCATCAAAACTTATCAGATTGACATCATTTTATCTTTACAGACAATTATGTCTATATGTATTTAATTATCATGATTTTTTCCCTATTTACAACATTTTCAATATTGAATTTTCTGACGACTCAATTTTTTTTTAAATGGCAGCAATGTCTGTAAGGGTGTTATCTTCTGAAAATTCGGATACAAAAGAAGTAAAAACTCATGTCCAATATTTTCTTAGATTTGGAAATAAGAAATTGAAACTTATCATTTATTTATTATCTGCGATTTCAATTGGTTCTTCAATAGTTGGATATTGCCGATTTTCAAATAACTCACATGTCATAGCTTATCATGCAATACCGTTTTTCGCAGCTGCTCTGTCTTCTATCATTACAATCATAATGAAGTTTGATTTAGAAGATGAATCGATGTTATTTTTCAAAAATAGAGAGTTATTATTATTTGTAGTTAACATAGTTTTTATCATTTCAACATCGTTTGTTGGACATTCTAATAATATAATAGTCATTCTAATATTTCGATTTATCCAAGGTATTTGCATCGGATTTTTATCATTTATCACATCTATTATGATTTCGGAAGTTCAGAAAGAATACTTCAAGTATTATATTCTTTCATTCGGTTTTGGTCTTTGCCTTGGTAACATATTTCTATCCAAATGGCCAATTCTTTCACTCTCATCATCTATTCTCCAAGCATCTCTTATTTTGATATGCAAACCAAATAAAAAATCAAATGTTAAAAATTCTAATCCAACTTATGAATTAAAAATGATTTTAGCTAGTATAAGCATGAATTTAGTCGAATCATTTCCTGGAAATATAATAATAATTGTTTCAAACAAAATAGAATCTAATTTAAAAGCATTCTACTATAGTATAACATTTGGTATTTCATTTGCATTTGGTATGTTTATATTCAACAAAATTCAGGGAACAAGAGATGAAGATGATTGTACTATATTATTTTATAATTATATTTCATATTTATGCCGTTTTATTGCATTTCTTTTAATTATACATAATGTTAGAGGTTCACTATATTTTATATATTTTTGTTATGGTATTGGAACATTCACTTTTCCATGGTTGCATTACTTTACCCAAAAATATGATGGACCGGGCTATTTGTTAATATGGGGTTGCTTTTGGTTTTCAAATTTTATCAGTTCATTAATATATATGTGTACTAGCAATTACACATTGTCAATCATTGGTATTTCAATAACAGGTTCTATTCTCATCTGTGGAATTGTTAAAGTATTAATTCACATTTCGAAAACAAGTATATGTAGTAAAATATCTTGTGATAATACATTAATCTGGAGCATTTTATTAGGTTTCGGAGGAATTCTAATTGGAACTATTATCGCCCCAGGACATTATGAAAGCACAATTAATGATCCGTATGGGTTATGGGGTAAGTTCAGTTCATATCCTTCATTCTTTGCTTTTATTGGAGCATTTATTGCATTTATAAATTTATGCATTGATTGTATTACCGATACTAGAGTTTTGGTGACGATTGGAAATGCAATGTATATTCTATCTACAGTTTTAATGAATTTACAAGGAGTTTCTATGATTGTCTTCAAATATTTTCAATCAGTTGCAATCGGATTTGTATCCATTTTATTCCCACTAATGATGGCAAAATTGCCGAAAAAGTATTTCTATTATTCAGTACATTTTTATTTACTAATGATACCTGCAGGAATGCTCGTTGTATCTTATACAAAGGAATTATATACACGCTTCATTCATATATTACCAATAACGTATATCATTTTAGTATGGCTATCAACTTTATGGGAGTATAGGTGCCATAATATTGACATAGGTAATTGTTCACCTTATGATTTTCTTGTTTCACTTAGTGGTTCATTTATTAAGGGATTCCCATGCGATTCTTTATGTGTTTATCATTATAACGAGTATGGAAAATATAATGCAATGATTCGTTTAATTTTTGGGTTTTTATTCCAAATTCTGCATTGTATTATCTTTTTTGTGATAAGCCCCAATTTTGCTCGTTTTTATGATGCATTAACCGCCATGTATATTACTGGAATATTAATTTGGATGATTACAATTTTTGTGGCATACTCTTTGGAAGATAATGATTATGCGCATTTTATTTTAATTGCTTGCAATAGTTTTGGCGTTATGCAGGCTCCATGTTTAACTGCAGCCCTAACTAATGCGCCAGGCAATGTGATTAATCATTTTCTTTTTATTTGGTTTTGAAGTACTATTTCTTCTTTATTATACTATTATTTTCCTTCTATCTCCATCTTTTTGATTTTACCCGAAATAGTTGTTGTTTGCATTTTAGTTATTATTTTAGGATGTTGCATTTAAAGCAAAAAGAATTGTACAAAGTTTATACTTATTAATAACATTATAACAAGTTTTTATGCTAATTTTCCTATGATATGAATTTTTTAGAATAATTATATCATTAAATAGAAATAAATAATAACAACAAACTTTAAAATTGAAACTATATGCAATTTAATTAAATATGTAACATATTAATCATTAGTTTTGAGTTAATCCAATTTAAATTTCTAATTACAACATTTTCAATTGAATTTTTTATTCTTATTTTTTGATTGCAAACTAGTGTTTAAATTAGGAAATGACATCCAAACTAAGCGCTTTGGAACACACACAATCAAAGAAAAATGGTATCAACTCTAATAACAATGATAAGAAAGAAAAAATACTAATCAATTTTCTAATTTTAACAAAACTCAAAATATAGAAAAATTTATAAATGGATGTGAAACAATAGAATCAAACAATGAATTATGCCAAGAAATAAAAAGCATCTCCATTGAAAGTTCAAGTTCCAAATTTGAATTTAATAAATTACATTCAAGCAAGCAAAATCGTTTAGAACTGAATGAAAAATTTATAGAAAATGATGTAGGAATATCTAATATGGCTGATAAAAATATTAAAACCAGAAGAATATCGGACATTAGAAATTCAAAAGAGTTCAAATTTTCTGATTTAGTTTATAAAGATTCATTCAACAATCAATATCATGATCAAGTAAATGCGACAGGTATTGGATTCCATTTACTGTGTTTATTGATAGTAAGTGGTGGAATGACACTCTCAGGAACAATGGTTCCAGTTTCGCCTTTCGATTTTAATTCAACAAATAATATTCTGTTTTACGTTTTGCCAATGATATTCGCATCTCTTAGTTCATTTATTTCGATCTTTTTCAAAGAAATATTTAATAGCGAAAAGAGATTATTTATGACAATCATTAACATTATTTTTGTTATTCTTACAGTTTGTCTCCACTTATCAACGAAAATCATTCCGTTATACTTGACTATTCGAACATTTCAAGGAATTATGTTGGTTTAATGTCATTTATTTATCCAATCACACTTAAGCAAGTTTGCACGAAAAGCTTTATAAGACATATTTTGTTGCTTTCTTTCTTTTCTTTTGTATTGGTCTTTTTGTTTTTCGAAGTATTGGAGCACATTGGATTAAACTTATTTGTATTGTTCCTTTCATGCAAAGTTTATTGATCTGGATTTTAGAATACGAAAAATACATTCACATCAATTCTTCAAGCATCGAATTCTTTTATAGTGAATTATTATTCAACCCTATTGATTCGTTTGGGGAATATTTTGCTCAATCTTTCATCGGATCTTTTGCATTTTGGAATTACATCAATCGATATAATGAAAACATTTTACCCTCAGGAAAACTTGTGATCTTTCTTTTTTTATCAATTTTAATATATTCGTTTATTCTGTTTCTATTGAAAAATATATCATATACCTACGCAAGACATATTTATTATTCTTGTTTATTTCTTTCTTTATTGGGTTATAAGTTTTGTTTATCATTCAATGAAACAATCGGCTTATATTACCTAGTAGTTTTGAATAGTTCATTAATATTCATCTTTTTTTAGATAATTACATTATTATTAACCGTAATGATTCATTCCGATTATCAATTTCATGGTTCTTATTTTGGCTTTCAAATGCATTTTCAGCATTAATATATCTAAAAACAAAACAATTTACGTGGTATATTATCGGAGTAAGTATATTAGTGATTTATTTTTTATTCAAAATTCATTTTGCATAATAATGTACGTAAAAGAAAAAATTAATGAAGGAAGAGTTGATTCAAACAATTTTTCTATAAGAAATAAGTCATTGAAACTTATCATTTATTTATTATCTGCGATTTCAATTGGTTCTTCAATAGTTGGATATTGCCGATTTTCAAATAACTCACACGTCATAGCTTATCATGCAATACCGTTTTTCGCAGCTGCTCTGTCTTCTATCATTACAATCATAATGAAGTTTGATTTAGAAGATGAATCGATGTTATTTTTCAAAAATAGAGAGTTATTATTATTTGTAGTTAACATAGTTTTTATCATTTCAACATCGTTTGTTGGACATTCTAATAATATAATAGTCATTCTAATATTTCGATTTATCCAAGGTATTTGCATCGGATTTTTATCATTTATCACATCTATTATGATTTCGGAAGTTCAGAAAGAATACTTCAAGTATTATATTCTTTCATTCGGTTTTGGTCTTTGCCTTGGTAACATATTTCTATCCAAATGGCCAATTCTTTCACTCTCATCATCTATTCTCCAAGCATCTCTTATTTTGATATGCAAACCGAATGAAAAACTCTATGAAATAAATTTGGAATTAGAGCCTTTTTCGGTGTCTTTGAATGCAATTGAAGCTTTCTACGGAGTTATTGGAATATTTAATGTTATATCTACCAAAACAAAAACAAAATTTGAAGGATTACAGAATGGGATATTCTTTATATTAGCCGTCGTATTTGGATATTTAGTGATCAAACTGCTTTTCGATTTCCAAAA